TGTTAAAAATACGAACTATAAAACTCAACTTCCTGGCAGGCGAAAACTATTCTTACAAACCGACTAATCCATCCAAACACAAAGTAGAAAATCGAACAAGTGACATACAGGGAACTCATAAACTTTTCAAATCGTGTTCAGCAACAAACGAGGAAACGCGACCCTTTAACATGCTATGGTGCGGAAAAACTGGTTTTATCAAGTCTAAATGTTCCAGACTGTAACCCCCAAAGACTTCAAATTCATCAAATTTTGGCACTATCAAATCCGATCTGTTTATCTTCACTCGTCTGCTGTATTTCCAGTTAGTATTGGTGGTGTTTCCGGTACAGCTTTCGCCGACACTGGTGCTAGTCACTCAATTGCAAGTGAAATCCCTCTATCATATTCTGCAAAAACAAGATGCAGTATTTGAAAAAGACAACACTACAGGTGTCTTTCGCTGATGGTTTGGTATCTGAAAAAGAGGTACTTCGCACCGAACAATCATTCTTCTCTAAGGCAGAGACTTCAAACTCCGCTCCTTGTGCTGCCTGATGCCAAAAATAAACTCGACTCTGTTAGGAACTGACTTTCTTCAAAAAGCTAAAATTGTTTTAAATCTTGCTGAAAATAAGTGGAACTTTTCTGATGAACCTCGAAGAAAATATAGCTTCGTGAAACCTCATCAATCCCAAGTACTGGAAGAAACCCCAGTTGTTGTAAACAAACTACCGACTACGAGAAAAATGAAGGACAGCAATTAACTACAGCCCAACGGCTTGCAACTGATGCATGCTTAACAAATATCACACTGTCTTCAAAGTAGGGGGAGAACCACTAATCAAAAGCCATCTGGCTTACTTCAAACTCCAGCCTATGCTCAACGTTTTAAGACCTTGTCGATTGATCTTTTCGGTCCCCTTCCTGAAACGCCATCTAGGTGAAAAATGGATTTTTTGTGCAGGACTGTGCTACGGAATGGACAGAACATTTGCTTTAAAGGAAGCCAGGCCAGAATGTGCCACTATTCTTTTGGAGGAAAAGTCGCCCTTCGATTTGGGATATCCAGGAAAATAATAAGTTATAATGGTGCCCAGTTTACTAGTGTTGTTATGCAACAACTATGCTATATCTTAAACATTGATCAAAGTTTTACTCCTGTCTATCACCCACAATCTAACCCAGTTAAAAAGAAGAATAGAGATCTTGAAACCAGCGTTTAGCAATACTTGTTGGTAATGACCATCAGTCATGGAAGGATAAACTGCCATAATAAGGTTTGCTTTGAATACAGTCAAATGTGATTCAACTGGACATTCTTCTGCTTTTCTTCAATTGCACGAGAGTTACGAACCTTAGATGATGTAAAGCATGATATAAAAGCCGTAATTCGACGATAATTTTGTTCCCGAAATTACTCCATGTTTGAAACGTTTTGCAAGAAATGTACAACAGGTACGAGAAAGGAGTCGAATTACATCAAGATAAGTAGAAACGATATGCTGGTAAAAAACGAAGAGAAACTCCAAAATCCGTTTCTGGAGATAAAGTTTGGGTTACTCTCCACACAATCAGCAAAAGTCCACTAAAGAAAACTGTTAAATTCATGTCGAAGTGAGATGGTCCTTATGTGATACTGACTACAAGATCTTTCAACCACTTATGATATTACCGATCTTCACTGAACTAGACAAAATTCTCGGCAAGTATCATGTTTCAGCCTTGAAACCATATCAAGATCGAAATAAGCAAAACTCAGCTCGTGTAATTCCAGTGGTTCCCTTAAAGAAAAGAGGACGCCCGAAACGTATAATACCATCCGAATCTGCACCTGTTGCACAAGGTGCAGGTGACGCGAATTTCTGCTTGTCAAACTGGAGCCATTCATATGATTCTCCGCCGCTGCACAAAGTAGACAAAGGTCAGTTCCTGACTTCTTGCCGAGACGTCTACGAAGTCAGAGGGGAGGATGTAACAGACCTATTTAAGTGTAATTGAACTATTTTATTCACGCCATGAACTTAATGAACTGTAACCGAACTATTTATTTAAACGCCATCTCGTGCGAATGAAAACGTCAGTCGACCTCCAGCCGCCATGATGATTACATGTTATGTTACAAATTTTGATGTCCATTTGGTATATGTTTCATTTTTATGTATATTTCTTTTGCTTGTAACTGTTCCTGTGTGCTCTGTTAATAAATCCTTTTAAAGCTAGCCGGCATTAGTGTCTATTGAGGAACGGCTAGGAACGGCTACATCACAATTATAACCCATATGTCCTTTATATTGAATATAACAATGCACTTCCATTAAGTAATGGGAATCAATAACAAACTTTTATTAGTTGCCGCAGAATTAAATGGAGAATAAAATTTATAGCTTAAAGTGAAAAACATAAAAAAGAATTAGTTAGAGGTAGTGGAGAATTATAGTCTTTTTTGCGCTAATTAATTGCATTGTCTACAAAACAGTACTACAACTAGATAAAAGCTGTTACTAGATGTCAAAATTTCTTTTGAACTACACGATCTTGAAAGTAGTCTAGGTTTACCCCATCCTCACAAGTATTTCGAATCAAAGGTTTCACTTGAATGAAGATTAAACAACAGATGAAAATAGCGGAAATACTTTCCAAAATAATTTTAGAAACATACATCCTGGAGTTGTTGTTTTGAGTCCATATTTCTTGGAAGTATGGTTGCCAGAGCCTCAAAGAGGTTGGACATTTACTGGAACCCTAATTTTGAGGGAGAGCACACTTAAGGGTGGACCGAGGATCTCCCACCTCTCTTCCCTACCACCAAACTACACGAGAGGACGTTCTGCCCGCCGTATATTTTGAGTGGCCCCCTGCCGCAAAGACACTATACATTTACAAATATCCGTGATTTTTCCGGGATTCTAGGCCGGGTTTTCTATTACCACAGTCAAAATCACTAACCCTATTTCGTCTGGTGGCCTTCCTAGGCTTATATACCCACAAAGAAAATAAATGTGGATGCAGAATGTAAGTTCATAATTACATTCTATCGAATAGGTTATTTTATGTTAACTCTATTAAGTGAAGTTCAGTGCAAGGTATATGATTGGTAACTCAAGTCATCGTTGTCATAGTCCATTGAGATTCTGAACACATAAATATGAAAAAAATTATAACCGTTCTTTCGGCATTTGAGGATAGGTGTGTAAAGGGATGCTTCTGATTCTAATTTCAAGTATTCTACGTGTAGTTTGATCAACTTTCGCGCGTGAAAGGGGAAACATGTGATTGAGAAGTTATTCAATAGATTATCAAAAATGGCATACGTTTGGGAGAATGGGAACAGGACCGATACCTGTATAAGTCTTTAAAGACCTAAAGGTAATTAAGAGCATTTTGTCAAAATCTGGAAACAGTTTATAGACAATGCAGGCACTAAATTAAACACTGATTTTTTCGCGCCTATTTGCTTCCTTGTACGAAGTAAAAAGGAAGTATTGTAATCGCGAAAAGTTTCCGGCAGCATATTTCAACGAAAATATCCATTTTGACCGCTATCGAAGCAATTTAACGATGTTCTTGCGTGATATGGTACGTAGGAAAAATAAATACTCTTTCTCCAAAAAAATTAAAACTGCTTAAAATGAATTCGAAGAGAATTTTCGTGCTTCCTACGAAGTATGTACGTACGTATCTGATAACTCAAAACGCGTGCTAGACATTGAATTTTGTATATAGGATGCTATAACATGTAGATGGCCCTGTATTTTGGTTCCAATCGGCCGCACCAAACATATATTTATAAATATATATCCACTCTTACCCGGCTCAGTGACTCAGTTTCTTTACTCTTATATGTTTGTAAAATTGTACTTTTTTTCTTTAAAAATGATGAATATGTTGTTTCTACTCCGGTTAAGGGTGTTATGCCTTAGTAAAAATATTTGTAAATATCACAATTTAAAGTTGTTTTGTTATTCTTTGATGGGCCCTGCTTGTTAACAGTTGAAACAGCTGAGTAGGAATTTGTTGCCAATCTAGCGAAACGTAGCTCGAACACAAAGTAACGCTCATTTATTATTGCGATTTAATTAGACTTAACTTTCTGGAATTTTTCGAGGCATAAGTGTTTAAAATTTGCTTCGCATTGTTAATACAGATATTTGATTTTATGTCTTTTGCATTGCGCGAAGTGAGAACTGATTGATTGAATGAGAAATATGTGAACGAATATAATGAGTTAAGTGAACCTAGCGCCAGAGTGTCATATGTAAAATAGAGTGATTTTAAAGAATGCATTATTCTATTGTGTTATGCGCTGTCGGCGAAGTAGATTTATAGGCTAAAGTTTAAAAGAAGCAAGTGGGAATGGTATAATATATTCCGTACAAGGAAGTCATTTGGTGTACACATCAGATTTTTTCGCCGTATTATTGAAAAAAATATACATTTTATTTTTTGAAATCTACGTTTTAAACATATATGCATATTCCTCATATTATATAACTGTTTGAATTTAATTTTATCACAGATTTATCTTTATCTTAAGATTATTTCTGATTTTAATGAGAGAACGTTGTACTTTTATCTACTATTCAGAGGTATTTTATCTTGTTTTTTTTTGTTGCTTTCTTTGTTTTATGTTTTATCTTCTTTTAAAACGTATATTCTAATCGACGTTGTTTTTCTTCGACGAATATGAACTTCAAAACTGCCTGCGGTGAGGAAAAATACTTAAAAAAATTCCCAATATTCTTACTTCATGACCAAGAAAAAGGTAAATGCAATAACTTCTCATTTCAGATGTCTGTTTTTGCTATAAAATACGTTATGAATGGGACGTTAGGGAAATTAAGATTTGACCCATACCAAAATAAATCTTAAGATGCCATATGCGAACTGGTTGCGGACTCGAAATGGTCAGGTCGAAAACTTGAACTCTGTTCGTATTTTAAGAAAAGATGTTTCTGACCTTCCCAACCATATCCTTCACCCTTTCCTCTACCCCTCTGGTAACTCATATAAAACAAGAGGTTTAGAAACTCGCTTGTTTATTAGAAAACTGGTCCTTGTAGAAACTGCGTGGACTCTTGTCATACCTCTGCTATTCTTCAAATATTGTAAGTAGTACTTAAGTAAAATAATTGTAGAAAAATATCTAATTAAATAATTGTTTAATTATTCAAAAATTAAGCAAAATTATAATATGTGCGAATAGCAAATATTTATAATTGTGTACATGTATATTCAGTAAATTTTCACTTTAAATTTAGGTCTATGCTAAGTTATATAAATGTAATAAACATAGTTTACATTCAAGTTAAATATAAATATTAATTAACTTCTACATATACTTTATTTACAGAAGTTAGTTATTATTCATAAACAATATTATTAAGTATTTGAAGCATGTCGAGACTGAATACGATATTAAAATAGTGCTTAAATTTATACCCAAAATACAGAAATTTTGCTAAATGTACTTCGATATTTTATGATTATTTAAATAGCATAAAATTTCAAACAGGAAATTTTAAGTTTTTATGGGCTTGAGTAAACTCGCAAACAGTTTTTATTTGAATAATCAAAATCGTAAAAAACAACCTTATATTTAGCGTAGGTTTGAGTGTTTCATTATACCTACGCTAAATATAAGGTTGTTTTTTACGATTTTGATTGTCACATTAGCGTGTTTCTCTTCTAGTCTAGTTTTTATTTGGTTAATTAAAGTGCAGTTTTTTAATAATAATTATTTTACAACATTAACATATTTATAACAGGATCTAATTTTTAAAACAAGGCTCCCACAAATTCGGAACATTTTGAGGGGAGGATAAGATATTTAAAAATAATAAAGAATGAATATATAAATGTTTGATATGAGACATATCAAATTAAAACGCGTGAGACGAAATCAATCAATAAATAAATTAAAAAAAAGAAAAGTTACCCTGAATCTAATAGCAATACACATATTTTTTTGGCATAATTTCTTTTAGAGTAAATAATACGTTTTATACGAACAAATTAGACTAAATATTTTGTTTTGTAATTATTAAAGTTTAGCTTTAAACTTTGTATAGTACCTAAAAATAAGTGATGAAACTCATACATTCCAGATAACAGTTTGTTTATTAAAAATCACACTCTACTCTTTCATTTGTATTTTCAACACTTCACCTGGCAAGGAATTTTGTCTGGGTTTTCCTAATAATTTTTTTCTGACTGTTTTTTTGCAGCTGGAGTGTAATTATTTGTTAAATATTGTCAAAAGTTCTATGTTAAAATATTTTTGTGGATCTTGTAATTGGCAAAACATAGAATTTTATGTAATTTACAGTTTTATCAGATATCAATTTATTAAAATATGAAGAAAAAAGAAATACGGAGACACGTTTGGTCAAAAGCCTTTATTTTACTGTATCTGGTTGAAATTTGGTTAAAACTTAATTTTGGTTGAAAATAAGCAACAAAATTAAACACGTTTATATAAACAATTAAATTTAACTAAATTTAAACTACTTGTATTAATGTTTTTTGCCCCACTGATTTTTCTTAACTACAGAAAAACCGTTTCCAGGTGCATATTGTTTTCAGTTTGCGATTAAATTTCTTCCATTGGAAATATAGGATTTACCAAAATAATGTTTCCATTCATTGAAAGTTAATAACAGGAATACTAATAGCAACAAGGATTAAAATTTTTAAGGTCACATACCTTAAAGTTTAAATGTTCAAAATGATCACCATTGGTAGCAGTATATCACTTTTATTGTTTCAGAACATAACGGCGAATAGTGGCTATGATTTGAATGGAATAGAAAGCAGAGGTAGTCTCATTCGCACATCTCATTTCATCTACTGTCAGTAACCCCTATAGGAGGGGGTACTGCTACGGTCCGTGTTTCTTTGGTGTTCACATTGAAAGTTTGTCACACAGTCTCCAAACTTTTGCCATCGTTTTCTCATCACACATATCTCCATTCGCGTTTAACTTACTATATAATCTAATAACTGCTACAGGTGTTGGTGACGAAATAGCAAATTCAGTGTTCTCCATCTTGTTTGCGTTTCACACAAGTTCTCAGTTTTTCTGAGAGATTTGTTTTGAAGTCTGCTTACGGTGTGATCCTACAATAATAGCTCACATCGATTATTTCTTATTTTAATTAAAAATAAATCTGTTATTAACATCAAAAGCGTGCAAACATTATTTTGGAGCACTCTGCAGACCCTTATGTTAGTCAACCATCACTGAGCTCTCTCATTGAGTTTTAGCATTATAAAACTGCGGTGCTCAATACAGTGTTCAGTTGTAAAATCCGTATGCTTATTTTGGAACTGGAAATCTGAAAAACCAACTATGCCGTCCGCGGGATCCGAACCCTGAACCTTCGGAGTGCTAAAGCCGGATGTGCTTTCCGATTACACAAAAGCTGTCGGAAAGGAAGGAGAAAATTCTTAGTTATTATATTATTATATTATAAAGTTAATTATTTAAAATGGCATAATACCGAAACTCTTAACAAGTTTTTTTCAACAGGTGTTATATAAAACCATAAATGTCGTAAGTAAAATAGGTTTCTAATCTTTAATAATTTACTGATTGAAAAATGTGCAAATCCTTTTTGTGTACGTCATCGTCTGCATACAGAATAAGATAAGTATGAGACAAAGCACATTTCCTCAGGCATGATATTCATTAGATTAAAATATGGGTGACTTATTTTCTAGAACTTATCCGAGATTCGAAAACCAGAATCCAACTGCGCTGAGCCATCTGCTACTCTTTCATATTTCTTCCTCAACATTAAATCATATTTTGCTAGAATATTCTGTCTATAAAATGAGCAGTGGGATACGTTATTGTCTTTTAAGGTGATTATGACATAAAAAAAAAAACTTCGTTTTGAATACTTTTGAAGGCATATTAACATAAAGCATATTCTTCCGTTGAATTTCCACGTTAAATTAATTAATTTATTTTAACGGCCGAAAAAAACAAACTCTGTTGAGGGTTACAGACTTTATGTTACGAGACTAATATTATACTAAAGTATTATTTAGCCCTTTTCTTAAAACCCAAGCTATGCTGCCAAACGAAATATAAAATTAAAAATAAAAATCAGTTATACATCATAGGAGAATCGAAATACAGAAAAGTGTCGACTCAGATATGTTATTTGAGATGTAAGAGAAAGGAAGTGTTTTTAATTAGCAATCATGTTTTGTCATGTAGTAGTTTTAACCTAAACTAATGGCTATTCATTCTAGCAAATGCACAGACAAATTTTGTCTTAAAATATTTAGTTAAAAAATATGATCTAACTTTAATGACAATATTTTTAGGAAGAGTATAGAAATGCTTTTAATTATGATTAAATACTTTATTTATGAATTAGGAGTTTCTGATAAAATTCGATTTTAGTTTAAATATCACGCTGAATAACAATCAAAAACAAAGTCCAACTTTACGACTCAGCGTAATCAGCGTTTCACGCTGTTTAATGTTTTACTTAGTTTTTGATTAATTTCTGAAATTTTCCTTCTGATATGTAGATTCGTGCCGCCATCTGGTGAATAGCACAAGAACTAATAATGACAGCATTTAAAATGGAAATGAAATAATTATAAAAATTGAATTGGAACCCATCAAACAATAATCGTAAGATTTCGCAAATTTTTAACAGTGACTTTAGGTGGCTTAAACTAAGGGTAAAGATTAGCAGGAAAAATAGATAAATAAATAAATAAAAAAAAAAAACGAAGTCGCTTTCAGGGGGGGGGATGATGGACTCTCTATGCAATGAAGCATCCGGACATATCATTTCATAAAAAAAAGGAAGTTCCACTAGTGAAAAAAATGTCCTTTCCGGTCCATTGCATTTCTTAATATGACGATCGATCAATCTACAGAAATCGCGTTGTACAAATTTTCTTGAATTTACGGATAAGGTAAAATACGAGACTTCTTTTTTTTTTTTTTTCTTATAGTATCGTACTTTTACACAATCGGTATAATTCTTCATTAATGAGAAAGAGGCTAAATGCTTTTTCACCATAGGAGAAAAATTTAAACGTCTTGGAAATAAAACACAAGTTGGTTGATTGGCTGGATTAGTCCAGGGTTTCTTAAACTTTTTTCCGTCGCGACCGCTTTTTATCACTAAGATTTTTTCGCGACCCTCAGGACCTCATAATATTTACAAAAATTTTGTGGGACCCCATAAGTGTTGCGCAAATCCGACACAGGCGTGAGTGAAACTGTCAATTTTTTCACTTGTACGGCAGCACCAAACGTGTATACATGTACCGTATATGCTGGCGTATAACGCTCACTTTTAATACAAAAAATGAGATCGAAATTTACCGGGTGCACGTTATACGCCGGACATAAAACTGATGGATTTAAAAATAAGGGAAAGATGAGCATACAAAAATTTGATTTCTACACCAACCTAAACGCTGTTTACTGGCGATTCTGACGATTTTCTATGACTCAGTTTTCGACATTGATTTCCAGGATAGGTCATTTCCGCAACGAACATTCATTCTTTGGGTATTATGATTTCATTTTTTTCCCACACATATGGAACTTCCACCAAAACCAAATATCCTTGCTGCAGCACGGTTTTCATTTCCTTTCGAAAACTGAATGACATTGCATTTGAAACTAGCACTATGTTTGTTTCGTTTGGCAAGAAAAAGAACATTAGATCAACTGTATTTCAACTAGAGCAAATACGATTTACTAAAGGCCTTTGATATTCATTTTAAAATGACGGCTTCTGATGACTACAGAAAGAGCAAAACGTCTAACACCTAATTCCAAAAATTCATTCGGCTCGGAAGTTCTTTCGTATCCCAAATTATTTCCCCTTTTCTCAAAACTCTAGAATAACATTCTTGTTCACAGCTGCATTGAATAAAACCCACTCTCTTTGCAGAATTATTTACTTCCGGAAGCATTTCTCCGACACACATATTGTTCCCCCTTATGGCTTGTCATTCAGTATACCACTGTTCGTAACCTTTCAAAAAAAAAAAAAAAAAAAAAAAAAAACCGCTTCGAATTTACGACTTCAAAAAATAACAACATCAGACACGTATCTGTCAGGTTTCTTCTTAACGAAAAAGATGCGCGTTATACAGCGAATATGCCTAAAAATTAAAAAAAAAAAATATGTAATTTGAATTACAGGTGCGCATATAAGAATACACGGTATGTGATTTTTTAGAGCCGTTGAATTAACTATGATCTGAATATTCTCGATATTACCTCTCTAATTCGAAGCTCACTGCACTTGGCCTTGAAGAGGTGATAAATGTGTTTGTGTCGACCTGTCTTGTCATTTCCTTGCAAATTTTTTGTAGATTCTTGAGGATGCCTTGAATACCAGCATGCAAACTGTATGCTTTGCTGTTAGAATCTAAGAGCAAAATACTTCTAAAATCTCAGCAAAAAATTTTCTTCATTCCCAATAATACTTTGCTTAAGATTGCAATAATAATGCCAGGAGAAATATGCAATGTCTGATATAAATGGGATGTAAAATCCGGATTCTTGAAGTTACACAAGGTATTTGGGAATTGAAAAATAACACGAATGCACAAAATTTAATTACTTCATAATGAATTACTTAGCAATTAATTTATCGAAACTATGTCTAATGCTAATTTATTTAAAGTATACATAAGGTTTAATTCCTTGATTATCTGAAAGTTTTAGAGGAATACGGTAATGACAAAAAATTTTTTGACTTTTCATTCAGTAACCAATTTTGTGTCACATTTTTATTATATTCTTAATCATGGATAATATAACACTACCTTTTATATGTACTGCAAAACTAAAAGAAACGAAAAAAGCAAATTATCAGACATATTTTATTGTGATACTTAATTTATTGCAGCACATTAGAATACGAAACAGAGTCCTTCAACGTATGCATAAATTGAATTATCAGGCCTTATGTCTTAGACAAATTCTCGTCTAAAATCGCATAAATGTAAAGCAACAGCAACTAAAACAGTGATTCGTTTAGCATTCTAAATCTCACCCTGAGATCCTTCATTACTATTAATAAAATCTTGGTAGTTCGATCCGGATTCGAATCACGGGAAAGGAGCCGACTTCATGAGTATTTTTTTTGCGGTTTCCCGAATGCATAAAAATTTAAGAAATATGTAATCTAAGGTTTAATTTTTCAGAAACATTCAAAAAATACATATTAAAAAACAATTGTAGGGTTCCTCTCTCCTTTTGTCTAAGATGAACGTCAAGGAACCTAGTGAACTATGTAGCGACTTATCGCTGAGTTCAAACAACTGAAGACGTAGACTGGAGATTAGTTAAAATACCCTTTTATTCACTCACATAAGAATAACTGTCGGCCCCTTCTCGGGCTTACAGGAAGCCTCTACTCGGACTTTAATTCAGAATAAGAAATAAGAAACCAAATTATAATTGACTAAATGAGACTGAGCCGAAGTTAAATGAAATTACCTAAAGTAGTTGGCACTTAAATTAAACTAGCCGGCGAATATCGATTGGCACGTAAAATACGGCCGAGCGTAACAGCTTCACTAGTGAATTAGCCAGAAGGCAAACACGCGCTACTAAGGATTCGTAGCACTCCCTATCGAAGTTAGTTGACCTTCCTTAAATACTTCTACTAACTCATTTGCATTCATTGCGATTCTAAAAACTCATTCTGGTAGGGAGATGTAAGTGGAAACAAGAATTGATAGGAAAGAGCTTCGAAATTAAAATAACTGTTATAAAATTAAAATATACCTTACAAAATAATTTTTTGATTGTGGCCACTTTTCTAAGAATACTACTTCTGAAAGCGGATAGTATTCTTGGCACCACAATTAAAAAATCTGATGTGAAACCACTAACTACTCTGTATGGCCTATTAAATTATACACATTTTTTGCTGCGTTCCGTTTAAACTTATTTCCTTGAATTTCATTAGAGATGAATTTAGCATTCAATTAATTCATTTCTCACTTTGTGACAAAGCAAAAATACATAAAAACTCAAAACTTCTAACACCAAATACAGTTAAAACAGTTTTAAAAAAATTACAATTAAAATTAGAGTTTCTACACAAAAACAAGCAATTCGGGCAGTGGGCAAGAAGGCAGATTTTTCGGTGTACAAAGCTGAAAGTTTACTTTTGGTCCCACTCGGAAAAAAGACATTCAGAGTGCAGAAACTGAATGCACTATACCACTGAGTTTCGAATGTAAACAAATGGCGGTTCGTTAAGCTTAACTCGCCACTTTTTGGCAAAAAAAGTCTTTTATTCTGTTCGTACGCAAAGATGTCATGCAAAAACTTCTTTCACGTCGTTTCAAGAGTGGTTGAAATGGATATTTTTTTTGAAATATGATACCTGAAATTTTTCGCGAATGCAATACTTCCTTTACTTCGTACAAGGAGGTAAAAACGGTACTAAATATTACCGATAGGCATGTTAATTAGGCTTCCGATAGGCTTCTCCGTAAACAAACCACAATCGTGTGGAAATCTAAACGGTAATCTGAGCGAGATTTAATAAAATTAATAAAAAACAAATGTAATCTGGACACCGAATAAATAATTATATTAAAAATGTGAATTTTATTTGCATATGTATATTTGCATAGAATGATATTATTTATGTTTCGCGTACTTAGTAGTGTCTTAATTTTTTTTTATTTGTTTATTTCACTTCGAGATTTTAAGTACACAATTTGTTGAATGAAATACACAAAATGTGTTTCTGAGGTTCGATGTTCAGTATATACATATACAATTTTTCATATATTGTGTAAATATTTTACTTCTTGAATTTTACAACATCGATTTTTTTTCACGTTCAACTTTTTTATTCTCTGGACATTTCTTCGAATCTATCATGAGCTTGATTCTACTTTCACCTTCATAATGTTAAGCTGCTTTTTGACTAACACAAAACTTAACGCATTAATACAGATAATGATAAAAATCTCATTTGAATTTCATTCATTTTGCTTGCGGAAAAAATCGCAATGTCACCGTATCAATATCATTTTTCACGAAAACATTTATGTCCCTCCTTCCCGTCCCAACTGCCGATTATCAGAGCAAGATGTTGTTTAAGAAATGTTCGACCGAAAAGAATGGCTCTAATTTAATTGATTTTCCTATAAAAAATTTCTATTTTACAGAGATTTATTTTGATAATTATTGAAGGTTTCCAAATATAAGATGATTTTTTTTTTCAACTCCTTCTCATTAATGAAAAATTTTCCTTTTGAGGTGCACTGATCCGAGATTGATGGAACAGCTGCTTCACTAATTGATGCAATCATTCTCACGTTATTCCTCTCATTGATTACCGACCCTGTAGGTTAACTCGGAAAAATATTTTATTTTAAACCTACTCCTTGATTTATTTAGAATTATCAAAATAGCCTGCATTTATCACGCTTTAGAAATTCCGAGGGAGAGATTTAAAGTTTTTTAACAGTCTAGAAAAATTAGCTAAAAAGCTTTCTTTCTCTTAGCAGCTGTGCTGTTTTTTTTTTTTTTTTTTTTTTTTTTTTTTTAAACTTCTGTGATTTTCCATATTAAAGAAACGGTCAAGAGATTGGCTTTCATTCGCTGTAGCTATATTTGCGGTACAGCTAATTTGAACACACGGAGAGGTGTACATGCACCAAATCATGACTAGTGGAAGATATATGCATGGGCAACACATGCCTGTTTTTTTTTATACCGCTGGTATAGCCACAAATTTTAAATTTATCTGTATGGACATAAATATATCTATTAGTTATATAAAATAATTTCAAACTAATTTGCTTTAACATCTTGAACTTACAATTATTTTGTAATTTCAGTCCACCAGTTTAGTGTTACAGACAAAATAAAATTGTAGCCACTTCATTAGAAGCAAATACTTGTGTGCAACGATCTATTGATGAGGAATATAAGTATATTTACGTCTTGAAGAAATAAGTCTTTCTATACTAAATTAATGCAGAGTTCTATACAGTGAGTAATATTATAGCAAGTACGGGATTCGAATCATGGTGAATGAACTGGCTGCCTGCGCCTTTTATTGGATTTCTTGGATGCATTTTCTTGTGTTCTTGGGGTATTATTTGCATGAACATTTTCTTGAACTCCTTGGGTGTATTTTATTTTCTTGGGTGCGTTTGTTTGGGACTGGTTGCATGTTCATTTTCTTGGTTTAACTCTAACAAACCAATTTCCTTTAGAAAGTCATCAAGAAAGATATCCCTTTCCTTATGTAGATAACCTTCGTTTGCTTTCTCATGATCACTCACTCTGAACTTTTATCATGAAATTAATCATGTGAGATTCAATAGAACCTTTCACCGAGACTATTTTAATGTTACGCTTGCATGTAATATGTAGTATAATATATTTCGCCTTTTAATCTGCAAAAAATGTACATTTTGATTTATTCTGAACAGGAATTAATTCAATATAAGCTGTACATTTTTAATTGAAATGTGCTGGTACTTCATTGAAATTCTCTATTCAATAAAAGTCGTGTTTTAAGCGGAAGTTTTCATTTAAACAAACCCTATTTGTAAACATCATTAAAATATCCATAATTAATATTAATGAGTAATGTAATATACGAGAGTGCTGCAACCCTTCCGGCTGATAATAATCAGCCTCATGTTTAATAATCAGCATACCGAAATATTAGCGAGTATTCTCTAATTTAAAATCTTCATTTTAGGTGAAAAGAATCATGCGTGCGAAATTATCTTCGATTTTGCTCACATTAGTGACTGTCCTGGTTTATCAGGTAAGTATATTCCGTTGAATTTTTCTTCTTTTGGATTTTATTTAAACTTCTCAGTGTTATTTTTAAAAATTATATGCAAGAAACCATTTTGATCAAAGCTTTGAATTTGTTTAAATCAATTGTACGTAAATTTCTTTCGTCTTTTAAAATATTTCTGTATAACTATATATATCAGATTAAATTCATTTGTAAGTTGCTCTGCTTAAAAACCGTTTAAAAATATAATGTGGAATTTGAATTTTTTTAAAACCTACTATAAACAGAACATGATTTTAATATCTGAAGCAATTACTCATTCTTTAAAAACTAATTCTGGAAGGGGAATAGATAATTTTTTTACTATTTATTTCAATTATAAAACTGCTTGCATGTAAAAATATATAATCTCTATTTCTCTTTTGATATTTTGCACAAATTAATGAGCTCGAATATTATTTCGAACTTTTTCAATACAAGTTTATTTCAAACGAAGAGGGCGCACATTATTCTCATATTTTTAATGATGTAAAATAACTTATTTGAAGAAACTAAAAAAATGACTTATCTAAGAAATAGTATTAGCAATCGTCAACAGATGGCAGCACAAACCATACATCTGTACTATATGATTAAAAAATCTATTGCTTCATACTGCTCAATTTTTTAAGTCATAATGAAAGACAGAAGTTATACAAAAAATTCCAATTAAATTTCTTTTCTTAAACAGATGTTACTTCAAAGTATGTAAGTTGCGTCATGATAGCAAACACCATAACTTGTTAATATTTTAGTGAATGTGTGGATAATTAAGTAGACAAAACAAATTAATTCCTAAAGCTATTTATTTATAGCTGGACATTTGGATGTAGGGTGACCAACTTATCAATTCGTGTCTCGAATAGTAATTGAAATTATTCAGTTTTAATTTGAGTTTGAATTTAACCTAATTACGAGGAACGTTTAATAAATTCTAAGCCGAAGTACGGGGTAATGGTTATGGGATGATGATATTTAGTTAAATGCATCATCCTTTGGAAGTCATGGACCCACGTTGGAAGCCCACAGAAGAATGAGCGCAAAGCAGTGTAATTAACTGAGCTTTAAAACGCCGTTAAATGCTATTAGTCAATGTTGTCTATTAATACTGAAAATAATTACACATATATTGGTGATTGATCTTAATGAAGAAAACTGAACACCGACAAATATTCACGAAATGTAGTTTTCAAGTCTACGTTGATACATTCTTATGGCATTGTCAAAAATGGACTGCCATGAGATTACACAGGAAAGAGTGTCACTCGAAGATGATCTCAGGCTAGTTCTCAGTGTGGGTGTGGACATTAAAGAAAGTCGAAGAACATGAGACGGAAAACAGATGAGTAATAATTTCTCACTTTTCGATAAAAATGGGCGTCACTTCTGGGATGAACGAAAAAAAATTCTCTATGAAAAGCTAGCAGTGACATGAGATGTAAAATGACTTCACAACTGCAACTGAAAAAGAAAACAATAAAGTGTAACATGGGAACGTAGTATCTCCCCAAAGTGGGAAATCAACTACAGAAACCTACCGAAAGATTTTGGACAGCAATTTTTTTCCTGAAACAGGACCACTGTTTATTGTTTATATGTCAGGTAATGCATAACAGGAGTTTATTACGTTAACGTATTGACACAGTTCCAACAAGCCATGAAGATAAAGCGCCGTGGCAAATTCAGCAAAAAATGTTGGTTTTGAGCAACAGGCTGGCAGAGATTTCCCAGACTCCCATTCAAAAATGCGAATTCCAGCTTCTTCCCTCAGACATGGTCCAAGTAATTCCTTTTCGTTTCAGAAACTAAAACGGTATTTCAAGTTATACTGACCATGACGACTGTGTTCCTTGTTACAATGACAATGATGATTCAGGATGCCGTTTAGGAATGGTTTGAAGGCAGTTCTTTTTTGAGTTCGCTCAGCTGATCAGTGTGCTAAATAAATAAAATAAAGGGAAACTACACGGAGAACCGAGAACGTAATTTTACACATATTCTCGTGCTGCGGTAGGCTTAAAACTTACTGAACGACCACCATATATATACATAAACATATGTCTATGCACGCAACTAATTTTCTTTTTCACTTTTACAGATATGTGCTTGTTTTGGGGCATGCACAAGAAGAGGAGTGGAATGCATTGAATATCAAATAGTCAGTCGTCATCAGGTACAGTAACTATTTTATTTTTCTATGATATAGAGACTATTAGTTTTTGAATTCTTACAAGCAACTGTTTAGTTTCTTGCAAGAATTTTATATGAACTGTACATACCTCTTTATTAAAAAATAATTAAATTATCAAAAAATAAGTAATTTAGTGTAATTGAATATACTGTTTGTTCTAAATGTGACAAGTAAAAATTAAAATTTTAATTTGTATGCAAAAGGATACAACACTCAGCAAACTAATTAAAAAAAAGTAATTTCAGACTGAAAATGCAAAGAATTTATTGATGTTTGAAAAACAGAAATCGTGACCTTGAAACACATTTTCATTTCTATGCGAAATAAAGTATAGTTTATCATTTGTGATTATACTCATCAAAGTAATTTTTAGTACATTATGCTATTTGTATCTCTATCTTCTGTGTATTTCAACCTATTTTTACCGACGAAGATTACCATTAAGTAAAAATTATGTTTGTGGAATTACTGCGTGGGGGTACAGAATGTTTTACATTCCATTTCACGCTCAGGAACAATTTCATAGGAAACATTTATTTACCATAAAAACGCTTCATGTTATAATAACACCTATTTAAATCAATATAAATTTATCTGATTATCATACATAATCAGATAAAGTTATATTGAAATATGTTGGCTATTCATAGGGCTTAATTTCAGAATTTAAATGTGCCAGAGACCTGTAGGACGCCGTCCGAAACCGGTCAGCTTCGGCTGGAATTTTGCTGAAAAACCGACAAATAGTAAATTTAAGACTTAACAACAATCATAGATTTAATAGATACTGGCCACTTTCTGACTTATTTTATATTATACCATTTAAAACAAAAATTGGATTTTTTGGAAAACCTCGAAATTTCTATTAATATTACTTAAAAAAATTTTCTTAGTTATTACTTTTTCTGGATTTTTATGACATTCTAGAATACTTAAATAGATCGGTTTTTTGTGATAATTATTTATTGGATCTATTTTATATAACTTTGAGTATTTTGTTTGTATTTCTTTCTCTAAATTCCCAAAGAAATTTTAAGATGCAATTTTAGAATTACATTTGGCACAGATAATTAAAATATAACTGTCAAAATGTTTTAAGGCAATAATTTATTGTTATCTAGTTATAGACTATATTATATAACCAAATGTATAACCATTTATAACCATTTATTCGAACTATGCTAACTGGGATATGTTCTGATAATTGATTTTCAAGGTTTAAAAATATTGCTTTTTTAAGTGAAATATTTATTTTCAAATATGATGTTAGTGAAAATTGTCAAAACTGATTTTCAAGATTAAATATTTTATTTTATCCTTATATTATTTTTTTAACAAAACGAGTAGAGAAGGATAATGAATTAGCAATTTGAAAACTTTTCAGTACTGTTTAACATTTCAAATAAGCGTCTAGTATTGACTAAACAGATACTGAGGAAGTTTCAAGAAATACAAAATATCTATACAAGAATAGAAAAATATGAAGTATCATATAAATGCCGCTTTTTTTGGTAAATAAAACGCGCCTTTGGACGCGTTCTACCAGGGGTTAAAAATAGTGCTACGTCTAACACACGCTCATAATAATTGACATTAGCTGTTTCTAAAGAATTCGAACTTTTTAACTTTTTTAAGTGGAAGTACAAGTGTTTTACGTTTAGATGCCGTAATGAGGAACAACAAACTCACAGAACAGATTATTTTTACCCAGATCCAGAGACTCAGGCAGAATGGGAACGGATCTTTAATAAGCGGAGTTAGAGTAGCCGTTTGGCACAAGCATAATTAATATGAGAAATTTCACTTATTTCCTAGCACTAGGAGAAATATGATTAAAATATTTTTTAAGATTTTTATTTACTCTGCAGAGACATTAGGTAATTTTAGAAGCAGGCAAGATGAAAAATGAGCAACGCCTTCGCCAGGAATCGAACCACAGACCTCTGGAATACGTGCCTAGTGTGCAGACCACCACACCACGAAGTCATGGTAGGAAGTCGGGAGAAACTTAAATACTTCCCCCTTTTAAAGGGAGAATGGGGTTTCTAGGGGACACAATCGCCAAATCCTGGGTGTGGAGAGTCATCATCCACCACCCTTTTAGTTCGGGGGCCACTTGTAGAGACATTAGGTAGTTTTATAAGCAGGACAAGATGAAGAATGAGTAACGCCTTCGCCGGGAATCGAAACATCGACATCGACCTCTGGAATGCGCGCCCAGCGTGCAGACCACCACACCACGAAGGCATGCTAGGAAGGCGGGAAAAATACCTTATAACTTAACTTACTTTATTTTTACTTACCTGTACCTTATTTAAAGACTTTCTCCCGATATATTCGTCAATATCAAACTTTGCAAACTTGTTTTAACGAGTTAATAACTGGCTGTTCGGATAACTCAGATTGCGAAGGCTCTATTGTGCAGAAATATTTAATGCCATGATGCGTATGTAAACAAGACTATCCGATGGTTCTTGTTGATGGTTCTTAGAATTAGTTCGGATAATTCAGATTTCTATGAATGTAGTTTATTGATACAATTTGTGCCATGATGCTAACAATTATAATGGCACTGACGATTCTTGACTGATAGTATCGGTAGTCGATACTTGATTACATTTGGCAGTCTTCACCACTCTACCATGCTTCGGATACATTCATTTATCTAGAATTCTCGTTTTCCATTTTTCGCTTTTATGAACGTTCTTTTTTTCGAGCAACCTGGATCCGTTCATGAAATAATACATTTCTAGGATATATTATCTGGGTCAACAGTCATCACGAGCATTACTCAATCGAAAATCGATATAGAGTTCGAAAGTCTAGAACTTTTTTCCGGTCATCGATGACATTGTTTAGAAATACATACAATTCTATTTTTATGCAGAGTCTTTTGATTAACAGAAAGATTTCATTTAACACAGTTTAGAAAACAAAATCCATTTTTTCATTCTACGCCCCTCATTTTGATATAAAGCTTGTTAAACGACACCTTTTTAAAAATTTTTCAAACTCGATTTTTGCAACCCCTTTAAGTACTGAAAAATGTAAGTAATTACGCTATTTCTACTGTAGGCTCTCTTGTATTAGATAACACTGAGCCTTCCGGCTACAAAAACGCAATATCTTACAAGTTATTTATAATGCCCCAGTTAACCAACTTATTTTCAAAGTTTTCGCGATTAGCTATCTTGAATTTCACACATATGTTTTTATGTATGTATTTTTAGAAACAGGAAATCACATATGCTTCAGAAAAATATTTAGAAATTATAAGGTATTATCTCCCTCCTTCCAGTATGTTTCCGTGGTGTAAAGGTAGCACACTCGGCGCGTATTCGAGAGGTCCAGGTTCGAGTCCCGGCGAGGGCATTGCACATAGTTCACTTCTCCAGCATCAATAAACCTAATGACTCTACAGTTGTGCTCGCACTAAAAAAAGGTGGTGGACAATAATTCGTCACCACCAGGATTTGGTGACTGAGTCCCCTACTCCCCGGTAGCCCATTAAAAGCGGAGTATATAAGATATTTTCTCTCTCCTTCCAGCATGCCTTCGTGGTGATGTAACGGTAGCACACTCGGCGTGTATCCGAGAAGTTCAGGTTCGAGTCCTGGCGAAGGCATTGCTCATTTTCACGTCTCCAGCATCAGTAAACTTAATGATTCTATAGCCAAAAATTATGCAAAATGCGCAAGAAATGGACACATTTAGGACAGATGAGACACAAGACAGATGCATAATAATGCTTAAAACAAATTATGCGATAAAATAGAAACCAATGTTTGCATAATAAAGAAAAATATTCTTTTGTACGCAAATATGTATAAGCAAAGAATTATTAAAAATTGCAGGAGTAGTTTGAAAGATTTTAATGGAAACTGCGACTGATTAGTTGAAATAAAACTATATACATTTGTATTTAATTGTAGTCAATCCACCCAATTTAACAAACCACTCGCTTTAAGATCTGTTCATTTGCCTTTCTGATAACATATCTTTATATTCATATCGGTCAGGAATTCTATAAATCGATTACCATTCATCGAATAAATTTGAATCTTTCTGAGGGGAAAATCACACCAAGGGATTTCTCATGCCTTCATTGGTATTCCCTTATCTGTGGCTTTACATCCCACAGAGCAGAGAGAACGTGCGTTAACTATCATATTCTGACTAATACATTTTAATGAAATCTTCTCATTTACAGGGATACGAAGAGAGACAGTATCCGGCCACTACGTGGATCAGCACGACCGAGGAAGGTCCTTCCCTGACGGAAGCTAACAGGATCATGTACAGGAGACTCTTCTCTTACATCCAAGGAAATAATGCGAAAGGTAAGTATTTTGGATCGGATCATAGCTTATGAGCTAGATGTGAGGTGAAACTGTCTCGTGGTGGTCAGAGCTGAGAATATTAATAGGATAACTGGTGAACAGTAGGCCGATAATTACAAATTAGCAAATATAATGTTGTCATAAATCGCATCTAATAATGTATCTGGAATCAAATAAGAGCGTGTAAGTAAAATGTATATAATAATTTGTCTAAAAATTAGTGAAGCTGAAATTAAATCTTAAATACATTCATTTCCTTTCAGATACTGTTTGTAGCTGAATAAGAGTCCTTTTTCGTAGACGAGTATACGAGTATTTCAAATGAAAGTACGAACAAGTTTTAACTGAAAAACATGATAATTTGATTTTCGTTGATATTGTTATGGACATCCTATTTTTTTGTCATATTTTATGAATCCCAAAGTAGCAGTGCATTTTTTTCACTTTACAGTATAAGGTAATTTCTCCATCCTTTCTCCATGTCTTCGTGGTAGCACACTTAGCGTGTACTCGAGAGGTCCAGGTTCAAGTCCCGACGATGGCATGGCACATATTTCACTTCTTCAGCATCAAAAATCTCTAATGTCGCTACAGTGGTGCCGAACTAAAAGGTGGTTGATGATGACTTTTCACCATCAGAATTTGGCGATTGCGTACCCTACTCCCCAGCTCCCCTTTAAAAGAGGGAGTATATAAGGTATTTTCTTCTTCCTTCCAGCATGCTTTATGGTGTAACAGTAGCACATTCGGCGCGTATTACAGAATTCCGGGCTCGAGTTCCGACGAGGGCACTGCTCATTTTTCATGTCTTCTACTTCAAAATAACCTAATGACTCCACAGTGGAGCCCGAACTAAAAGATGGGGGATGATGATTCTTCACCACCAGGATTTTGAGACTGAATTCTCTAATCCCGAGTCGCCCTTTAAAAGGGCGAGTGTGTAAGGTATTTTATCCCTCCGTTCTACATGCCTTCCTGGTGTAACGGTAGCACACTCGGCCCGTATTTGAGAGCTCCGGGTTCGAGTCCCGGCGAGGGCATGGCATTTTCAATGAACCTTTTCCACTAAACTCAGTTACAGTTGGAATTTTATTATGTTTTTGTATATTTTATTCCATAACTGTTCTGAGTAGAAAATTTCGACCCAGCCTTTTTTTGAAGCGCACTTTCATTTGGGAAATATCACCTTTCAAGTTACACATAATTTTTTGAGAGTAATATCCTTTGTATTTCATATTTATAAACCTAACCTGATGAATGTTACTACTAATTACTAAGAAATCAATTTAAATTTTCCATTTAAGTACTTTTAAGTTTTGTGATTTCCTTATCAAAATTTATACATGAAACAAATATTTCAAAATGCCTTTTATAACAAATAATAATTATTTACAGAGGTGAATTACAAGCTAATCCAGAAAGTAAGTACCGTTTGGGTAGTAAAGATTAACAATTTGTTTCCATTTGTTAATATAGAAAAATCTATGCTTTGTAGAGACATTAGTAGGTATTTTTGGAAGCAGGCAAGATGAAATATTAGCAACGCCTTCACCGGGAATCGAACCGCGGACCTCTCAATTACGCGCTGAGCGTGCGGACCACTACACCACGAAGGCTCGCTAAGAAGACGAGAGAAATACCTCATAACCCTTAAACTACTTTTCGACATGTTGACCACGAGAATTAAGGCTTCTGTCTTATTTTAGCACCAATTGAAACATACCCGCTTCTTATACGACCGCCTGCGAGCTGTTCCAGTTCTGGACTTGTACTTACCAATTCTGGACTTTGATCTGATCATCACTTGCAAAGTGCTGGCCAGTAAGAATTTTTTGAGATGAGAAAACAAATGAAAGTCGGACGGAGCGAGGTTTGGACCGTAAGGAGGGGTTGACAGATTTGTTTTCAGCGAAATGAATCAAGCAGCGTTATGCGTGCGGTACGCAGTGGCGCTTTGTCATGCACGAACACATTACCAGAAGTCGGTAGTCCCTGCCCTATCTTCTGTATCGCGCTCCGTAACATCTGTGCTTCACAGTAATCTGTAGCGTTGATTGCTTTGCCTTGTTCCATCCAGTCCACGAATTTTGTTTATTTTTAATGCTAACGATCTCATTAAAATGATCCCTTTGATAAAAAATAAGCAAATACATAATTTTAGCAGAGAACATTTATTTACAAAGCACATGGAATAATCTCTCATACACTTATTTCAAATGAGAAGAAGAAAACAAAAAGCATTTCTATAAAATATAAGTGTTACGGCACAGATAAATTAAACCCAAGAGAACGAAAATTTTCCCGTAAAATTGATTTTGATAGTTTTAATTCTGGTTATTTCCTACATTTTTCCTCTGGTGGTAACTATAAGGTCACGAAGTAAGGTGCGTAAAATATTATGCCTTTAATAGAAAAGATATTGTATCCTATTAGATGAAACTTTGCATCTTGTTCAACTGGACATTACCATTACTACAGATAATGCGTTGTTTGCAAGCCTTATACAAATTTAGAAAAGAAACATATGAAAGGAATTAATTAAGAATGGCAAACGAAGTAAATGTAGCTGCTGTTTCTAGAATTGAAAAAGGGGGGAATCTCCTAAAGATAGTTAAGGGTTTTTGGTATTAGTTAAAATTTTATGTTACGTAAATGCATATTATTGTGTGTATTTTTTATTTGTTTTCACTACGAGATCTTTCGAAACATTTTGCCTTAATAAAATTAAAGCTAAATGAAATTTCTATTTTTTTAGGTATGAGGGTGAATACCACGACTCCTATTCGTACAAGGATTGTGCCATGTCATGGAGCAACATGTGCTACTATGTTTATTATGTCATTCTTAATTCCTTCGGAAATGCAAGACAGTACACCATATCCTCTAGATACTGAGCTCTTCATTGAGAAAGATCCGCCTGTTCGTTACGTTGTCAGGTATTTACTCTTTAAGTAGAATTTTAATAATGAATACTAGTTGATATGTTTTGAAACCTACGCAGAAAAGGCTTCAAGCGCATCTATCTTTTTATTTTTTAAACATAGTTAATTACAGTTTTTCAGTATTGTATCAAACTGTATGGTTTACGTTAAAACTACTGTAGCAAAATATTAGAAGCATCTCTGCATTGAACGCATTTATCTTCTTCACAACGGAGAAATATTTTACGCAAACGCGATAGTAGTTATGATTTTTTATTTGTTTTGCGGTCGCGTAGTTGGAAATAGATGCTGTTACATTCAATCTAACATTCTGTGTGACCCGGTTGCGTTTCTGGAATAGCGCAAAACATAAATGCTGTTGAAGAGTGAAGTGGAAGAAACGTACAATTTGTGATCAGATCGTGCGAGTGAACCGCTGGCGTGCGGTGTGGCTGGTATTACTAGTTGATGGTCAAGGTCAGTGAAGCCCGAGGTCTGTCAGTCGTCGTTGCGAAGTCGTGTTATCGTCCAGATGCGCAGTTTTTGTGCACGCGTTATGGAAGTAAGGCGTCGTGCTGCTACGCTGTTAGGAGTGAAATGGAGAAATGTACAAACTTGAAATTCTGTTTTAAACGTTGAAAATTCCAAGGGAAATGTCACAGCATTCTGAGCCAGGCTCACGAAAACAGTGCTTTTCGGAAAAGTGCATGTACGAGTGGAATCGGGATAGCTTGAAAGTCGTACAACGGGCTGGTAGCCCCGTGACATCGTGCACCGACGAAAACATCAGAAATGTCACCAGCTTTTGACCGAAGATCTTCGGCTGATGGTTCGAATGTTGACGGAGGATAGGAATTCGAATAGTTCGAATAGGATTGCCGCATATAACTGTTTAAAAGCAAATATATTCGAAAAGTTTAGTAAGCGTAAACCTTGTGCGTAGTTAGCGTCTCACGGCTTATCAGGAATGAGACAGAATGCAGGCGTGCGGAGACAAGTTGGTTAGTTACCATACTTTTCTTGAACGTATCGTTACAGACGATGATTCATGGTATCCGAAGTACGAACCAGAATCAAAGACATAAGAGGCAAAGGAGCGCCCCAGGATCATCGAAACCCAAAAATATTAGGTGCCAGAAATCGCCTATCAATTTAACGTTGATTATTTTTTTTTCATGCGGGAGGGATTTTCGCAAAAAAATACCTGCCCGAAGACACAATATTGAATGCTATAGATCTTACGTAGCCTCCTGAAAACTATCAGACGCGTGCGCCCCAATATGCAGAAAAAAGATTCTGGTCTCCAGATCAAGTCCTGCAGATTTCCCCCTGTTTAAAACAAGAAAGGCTTTCGAACTTTACCTACATCCAACGCAGAGTGAAAGCTGAAAACAACGGCAATCACGCAGGCGACCTTCACACAAAAGTATGCAAGACTTCTAAATGGGTTCTCAGATGTATACAACCAAGGGAGGCCATTGCTATGAAGGACGATAGGCTGCATATGTTACCGGTAAAGTATGAAACGCAATGCCTAAGCACTGTATATAATGCCGGGCGTTTTTAGGCAAGGTATGAAATATGAGAATTATTACATACTTTCTCTAGGCATTGTACATAATACCTAGGCAGAATGACAAATGCTCCTTAGGCAAAGTATGAAAAAAAGGTTACGGTAGGGCTATTATTAAAAAGACGTTCATTCCTTTAAAATGCAATTGTTAGTTTGAAAAATTAATAAAACAGTGTCGTTAAAATTTGTTATTCGAAATATCTAAAAAATTAGTGTGATGATCTTGATACAATATAATAAATTTGTATTTCTATCTGGCCGAGACTGAGAATCTGTAAGATCTACCTGCAACGGAAATTAAATTCAGAAACACTCATTAGTTTCACAACAATGACCTTTTTAATACTTTTTTTTTTCTGGCACGGCTCACAAAAAGGGTTGTACAGATACGTTTGTTTGTGGGATTCTGAATCAAAATTTTATAACGTGGCAAAAAATCGTATTGCCACATGTAGTGCTCAAAACTATAAAAAAAAAGGGAGGTAAAAATGCCTAAACTCATTATTTTTTGTTATAGTTAACGAAGGGACCCGTGATAAGTCAAAAGAGCTCTATAAATAGGCATTACCGCTTTTACCTGCATTTTAATCTTTATAGAAAGGTATTTTTTATTTATAATAGCTTGAATTCCTTACTTAATTTTTTTTGAAAATTATTTTCCGTCCTTTGTTTTGACTTGTTATAGGTAGCAATTTTAAAATGCTAAAGCGATTAAACAGGCGCATTGAACAGATCTTTTTAATTAATATTATGCAGCAATCGAAAAGAAATTAAATGTGGTAAATTTTCATTCTCCAATGCATTACGATTTTTCTGAATGCTTTTTTTCTATTATTTAATTTGTAATCAACGGCGTAGTTTTCGATGCACAGCGTTGATTAATGGTATATGAAATCTTAAGTTATATAAGATAATGTTGAGATAAATGTCGAAATTTGATCGTAAATGTTCGAAACGGAATTCCAAAAGTTTTAAAATTGCTTGCGTTTTGTATCTCCTGTTTTGTCAGAAGGTCTAGACATTCCATCACGTCCTATATTGCAAACAGTGTTAGACACTTTTAAACAGCGATGAAAACTTTTTTAACCAAGATTATATATGAAGTGGAACTTAGCTGATTTCATCGATTAAATAGTTGCCGATAGTCAATTTTGTTTAGTTGTTTTATTACGGCAAATCACACTAGGGCCATCTGCCTAAGGAAAGAGATGCTTTCGGGGAAGACTTTTTAAGGGAAACTGGCTCGTATGCACATTGCACATGTGGAAAACCAAGAAAACCCCCATGCAACCAGTACTTTCGCCTGCAGTCGAACCTAGGTCGTAACTACCAGTGTTCAACGACTTAACCGCTCGGTCGCTGGTGGGCCTCTTGGTAGCTAAATGATGGCGATGGGAGTTGGTTGTATTACTGCAGGCACAGAGTTTTACTTTGCTAAAAATTATCTCAAGTTCTGTAATAATTCCAAAATTAAGTGGAAAATCTCTTTTGTTTTTGGCTGAAAAGCTGAGGTTATAAGAGGGGGAGAGAAATTAATTAATTAAATATAAATCGATCTAGAATGTAATAAAACAAGGAAGAAAATATTGAAAATCACGTTATTATGTTTTCTTAATTAACGAAATATTTTTTTTTTACTTAGTTTTTTTTTTTTTCCTGTAATTAATCTTATACATGATATTTAAGAGATTGCTGGTAAACAGGGTTTTCCTCCAAGGACTCTGAATTAAAAGCTGTTGTTCTTAAATCTACCACGGGGCAAAAGACTAAAAATCTATACTTATGCAGTTTGGCAACTTTGGAAATCGAACTAATCATGTCGTATAAATAATTTGAAGTACAGCAAGAAATACCATTTTCCTAGATAGAATCGAATGAGTTTTATTGATTTTCTCTTTTTGTCCAAAGCATTAAATATCCGAAACTTCCTCGTGCACCAACAACGAAAAGAAAGACACATGTCAAGCCACGTCCTTGATTTCTCGGAAGTAAAAAAAAAAAAAAAAAAAAAAAAAAAAAGAAATTCAAGCAAAAAAAAAAAAAAAGATTCAAGCGCAATATATTAAGGCTATGTGGTACGATGAGAAAAGAAGAAAATGCTTGTGAGTTTTCTTTTATTTTCATCAATTGTTTGATGAAAATAAAAGTTACGTTTGAAGATTTCTTCCTTTTGCTTCCCACGTCAGGACGAGGAAAAAAGTGTTTAACTTAACGAAGCATGAAAAGCCATTGTATAAGTTTGAAGGCTCTTTAGTTTGATAGCTTAGTTAACTATAGATAAAGAGATAAAATATGCTATTCATGCACTCTATACACTCTTCACTTAGCGAGTCGCAAAACCGGTATAGTGGTTAGCGTCGTTGACTGCCGCACCGAAGGGCAAAGGTTCGAATTCCGGAGAAGGCATGGATGTTTGTAAATGTATAGTGTCCACGCGGCATGGGGGCACTCTAAAAGATGCGGCGAGCCGAAAGTCATTTTAAGAGGTTGGTGGTAGGGAAAGTGTTGTGGAAGAAACCAGTTTCGCCCCGAGGGTGCTCTCCATGAAAACTGGGGGTGGAGCACCTAACTCGTACTGTCACCTGTAAAGTGCTCAAAACGGTTGCCAATGGCAGGCGTATCTTGTGCTGCTTGCCACGAGGAATTTCTTGGGCTTGGCCTGACAAGTAGGCATTCATTATTGAACAAAACAACTTACCAGCGAGACCATTTCTCAAATGTTGTACTTTTCAAGATCTCTTCTTAATTATGATATCCCAGTGTTGCTATCTTGGATATACCCGTATGTCTTGAATGTTTGATTTGGTTAGATTTAAAAGTATACTGAGCATGTGAAACACCCATTGTACACCAATCGGGAGGTAAATATATTTCTCAATACTCTTTAGAAAAAACAGTATTAAAAATTGGCTAACATGCTGGTAATTTCTGTATAAAACTCTAAAATTCACATGTAATTTATTGTGGGGTATAATTACGTTCAGATGGATTGAACATAATGAACATTAAAAATGATGAATGTGATGAACTAAAAATTTCTCTTCATTCAAATATTTCTATTGACTCAGAACTATTAATGCCTAATCAGAATTGGTACATTCCTCAATACTCTCCTTAAATTTGTCAGTAAAAGTTTATTGACAAATTTAGACAAATATAAGACTGCGTAAAAGAAAAATCCCACTCTTAAAGGCAAATTCGCTTTGCAGTGCCTGTACGTTAATAGACTTTTTAACAACTATTGTGAAGTTTTCCAAATCAATGTCTGCTACCCGCATGCTTTACAAAAATGAAAAACTTCAAAATCCTTTAAACAACAGATAATTGAAACTCAGGTTCCGTTTAATAAAAATTTGAAAGAATAAATAAATTAATTACACGGCTGGTGTCAGTGTAGTAATGAAAGAGTATTAGTTGTTGAAGCAATTTTAATTCAAAGACT